TGTGCCGCTAGATAATCGTATCTCTGCTATCAAACTATACAAACTATGGCCGAACGGGGTGGAGTTGAACCGAGTGTCACCCTGTCTATGGTGTCACCGGGGGCGGGGTATGAAGTGTCTCAATTGTATTTAAAGAGACCGCACCAAAACGAGTTGCTCTCAGACGCACATCAGAAAAGGGGTAGAAAAGGGGCCTGTGGAGCTATAATAATGAGGAATTCAGACCCAGGCATTGCAGTTCCGCTTTATATAGACTACAAATGTATGATTTATATGTAAAAAGGAACGATTTAAAAGCATGATATGTACCCTTTAAAGGGAGGGTTAAACTCTCAGGTTTCATAATATGTTCATTATTGTTTGGAAGAAGAATGAAAACCTCATAGGTTTGAAACCACATGACAGAATACTTTATAAATACAGTGTGGCGAGTCTTGGATAAAACTAACTCTATCGTGAATCATATCGTTTACATTAACGATACATAACTGAGCATTTTCATATCGCGATATAACGATGTATCGTTACACACCTAATTTTAGCATATATTATTATTATTACTACTACTACTATTCACCTATATATCATATAAAAGCATGCCATCAAATGCAACAGATTTGATTTCACTGGACAGTTGAAATATTATCATTAATTTCCTAAGGAGCAAAAATAAGTTATGAGTGTTAAATAAACACGAGAAATTTGGCATTGGATTTGTAAGTACGTGGATTATCCCACACGGCAGCCAATCAGCAAACAAGAATAATTCATATGAACTTTTACAACGGAAAACAAGAAACAAGCACATGTGACACTGTGTGAATGCTAGACGCTCCAAGCTGATTCACTGGAAGTGCAAAAGCTGCGCTACAGAAAACTGACTAAGACTGATGCTATAGACATGATACCCCGTCGAGTCGTTGGTGTAAACTGTGTTAATGTAAATAAAGTGCTCTTTTTGTAGGCTATTTTAATTTTTTTTTAAAGTTACAAAGTTACGTTGTCCTTCGTAAGCAAAGCAAAACGAACATGCATGAATGGGAAAATAAAGTGTGGGACGTGCTTGATGTTAAACAGAGTTATTAAGTGCAGTAACCTGAAAAAGATCTCAATGCATTACACACACACACACACACACACACGAAGCGGTGCACAGAAAGCCGTGTCCCTCAGACAGCATGTGGTCTCTGTAAAGGAATACTGAGCTTGAGCGGACAGACACGCAGAAATATTTTTAAATTCTGTCTTGACAAGCATTCACGTAAACATAGTTGGTTTGGTTATGTCATAAATGGATGTAAACAGTTGGGGGGGGGGTCTGATGTGTAGCACTATATTAGATCTGTGCATTATGTCTTAACATAATAATCCTGCTGTCTGTCATTAATGTTGATCAAACGACAAGAGGAACTGAATAACTTTTGTAGCTTTAATAATTTATTTATTGATAATAAATACACTAAAGACTCTATATTCCCGGTTCCGGCTCTGAGAGACACACCTGTTAGACGCCCGAGGTCCTCCCCCACCGAGGTCCTCCACAACACTGCCAAGATATTGTCCAGACCTGTCGGAGAACAGAGACGTGTTCAAGAGCAGTTTCTCACTGTAATCAACACACATCTCCATAAACAACGATAATGATGAAAATACATGCCACACTATTGTCCATTTAGGTTTCATGGTGACGCAGAACGGTTGTCTGTAAGGGGAGATACGAGAGGCAGGAACCCGCTGTACGACGGCTTTCAAAAATCACACAAATCAGTGAGAACAGATAAACAGATGCAGACATGCAAGCGGCTGGAGTGAGTGAGCGCAGAGTTTAGTAGCTGGCATGAAATCTATTTTCTACATGCATGTAATTGATCTTATTGTGAATGATTCTTCCATGCATACTTTTATTTATTTTGAGCTGTCTCCGGTGAAGGAGCAGTCTTCTCTCTGGTGACGTATATGCGTAATGCTTCTCCAATAAAGTGGTCCACTGAATCCCTGCCGGTCCACAAGCGCACACGCGAGGGCCACGCCCACATCTCAAGCTAATCAACAAACCATGGATCAAAATAAAAGTATATTTCTACTGTGGATTTCCTTTTTCACGGCAGCTTTACCAGCCGCTGGTACTCGTTTGGCAGATGTAAAGGGAACTGAAACGGGTACTCTGCAAGAAACCCCACACTGACGGACGATTGCGGGACGCTTCCTGCGGTTCAGGGCAAACCTGCCTGTACACAATGAGTCACATGACCTGCCTGTACACAATGAGTCACATGACCTGCCTGTACACAATGAGTCACATGACCTGCCTGTACACAATGAGTCACATGACCTCCCTGTACACAATGAGTCACATGACCTGCCTGTACACAATGAGTCACATGACCTGCCTGTACACAATGAGTCACATGACCTGCCAGCAGCAGCGGCCAGTCGGTGTGCGGTTTATTATGATGTATAAATAGGTACTACCATTTATAAATAAATAAAAAATAAGGCATCTGCAGGGTTTTTAAAATTAAATGTACACCTTTTAAGAACTTTTGCACAAAAAAAATTAATGCTGTATTGGGGGGGGGGTCAATGTATATGACTAATATTCAGCAATATTACTGATTTGCCTGCAGTGACCCTATTGGATGAGATCTCAACTAAAGGCTACACGACTTTTAAACAGATTAAAACACCAAGCCAGGGGTTTTCAGAAGGGGTCGTATTTCCGGACTATTTTTTTAATCATCTGAAACATGTTACAATTTAAATTCCAAAGTTGGGCTACTTATATAATGCATTTAACGTCAAATAAGTAAACCATAAGACACTTAAAAGTAGGCACTTCAAGGTTTCTAAAGATATATTGTTCATATCTGTGTGTAGTAGGCAGTACTTTCTGCTGAATTTGGTACATGGCTTCAGGCCGTCGTTCATGGACACCGAGACGGCACACGCATTTTTGTTTGTTTTCTTTATTTTGCAAAAGTATGATGTTTTGCTGTTATTTTGAAGGTACACAAATACAAATATATTGTTTATCGCTTTTAAATGATATCTTACTCTCGTCTGACGGAGTATTTTAAGTTGTAGGCTATATGGTGTCAAGAAAACACATGCAAATAGAAGAACATCACACACACACACACACACACACACACACACACACACACACACACACACACACACACACACACACACACACACACACACACACACACACACACACACACACACACACACACACACACACACACACACACACAGCTGTGTATAGCAGAGCACAGTGGAAGTGTTATGGGGACCCGAGGTGGCGAACGTCGTTTTAGTTTCAGCATAACATTAAAATACCATGCATATTTTTTACTTTCTTTAAACAAAAATATATATATTTGACATAATGCTATAGAAAAGCAATAAACGTTGTTCAGGAAAAGAGTTTTTTTAGCTTGTTTATTTTGGTATAACAACAATACGGCTTGCAGTCGCTTCAAACGATGGTATAAAGCTATTCAAAACATCATTCAATGTAAATTGTGATAATCGCGTAATTACAATTTCAAGGGAATAATCGACAGTGATGTTTTCTTGATTCGCTGGTGTTTCTTCTATTTGCATTAGAGCTGTGCAACATTGACTAAATATTACATCTCTACATTTTCTTGGATTTTATCGATAATGATAATTAGACAATATTTTGAATATTTATTGACAGTCAACTCCTAAAGTTTTCCATATTCTGTGTTATGATTAGTTCGCAGCAATGCCAGAAATGATCTTTTCCAATAAGTTTTAAATAGATTTTTACCTTTTATGGGCATTTTAACCCAATTAAATCCTATGCAGTGTTTTTTGTCTCAAATTCTACTGTACGACAGTAATATATTTCGGTCTCAATTTCTTCAAGTTAAACCAGGCTTATTTTGACTGCCATGAGACCTTTGAGATTAACCACAGCTCAGTGCTTCACAGTCAAACTATGTGATATTATTAGAAACTGCACTTCTTTATGAAATGCAATAGTAATTTATGTTTGTAACACATTATTTTGCACCATCACAGGCTTACAATTTTCAAAAGGGAACCTTGAAAAAAAGCATTTATTTATTTAAAAAAAAATAGTTTGATTAAAACAAACGTTTAGTCAACACAAACAGTAAACAAACTTATTTACATTTTCATTTGTTGAAGTTCTTTCACTTCTGCATTGCTGACTGACATTTGCTTATCTGTCAATCACGCTCATGCTGAACTGCACATGAACGCGCATTTAAAAAACAACTTTCAGACGAACGTGAGCGCGCAGAGAGCTAGCAATACACATAACTCTATATGAATATCAATATCGCGACGAGAAATAGACCGAGTGGATCACAGTGAAACGGAAGTTCGTCGCGTCTATGATTGGAGCACCGAAAGCCAAAGATTAACGGGGTTTGGTCCGATCCTGACGGTTAGCGTTAGCATGCTAACTGCAGGAATTAGTGCCCACATTTCTATTAAACTACCGTGAAGAAACAATGAAAACAGAGTGTTCTGCAGGGAGTGCTCATCTTACCCACAGAGTGAATGAATTCAGACCTCCAGCAATCCGCTTCCTGGCGAGAAACAAACCTTTCATTCGTGCACAACCGCTTCGTGCACGGACTCGCCATTTTCTACTGTGAGTGATCACGTGAACGCGCACGTTCACTGATAGCGCACATACGTGTCGCTTCGGCATGTGACGTCATGACGCACCCGTCCTCTTTTTCTGCGGTCGACGAACTGACACAGACACACACTACAGTCGTGCATTAATTATTATTATTACCACTTCATGACATCATTAGGAGAAAAAACAAACACATTTTCTTTGGTTAATACCTCTGTAATATTGTAAAAGTGATAGTGGCTGGCGTCTCCAGGCCGACAGGTGGCGCTGGCGTGTGTTGAGTAGCAGCGATCAGCGTGTGTGTGTGTGTGTGGTGTGTGTGTGTTCAGTTTCCACATGTAACGTGACAGTAGCGTGATGCTAAAGATGGATCTGTAAACTTCTTAAACTGTCTTTAGTGTTTCTCCTCCTCCTCGTTTAAACTCTACATTAATGAAACTTCGTTCGTGGCTTTATGTGCGATAAACCATGAGGAACCGCGGCGCTTATAATGTAGACCCGAGACTCAAACACCGAGTCCATCAGGTAAAATTAAAGCTTTATTATTATTATCATTCAGATAATATTATATACTGTACAATAACTAATAATAAAGTAATCTAAAAAAAGCTACACGAAGACAGCCAGGGGAAACTAAAGATACAGTAACTAAATAAATAAAAATACGAAGGAAAGTAGGCTATTTGTGCCCCAAAGAGTCTGTAATGATTTTAATGTGCTACTTATTGATTTTAAGTTATTAACATAACAAAATTGGCTTGTCTATGTTTACCTAGCAAGTTTAAACATCAGATGGTTGTGTGAATGCCTGTATAACACATGATATTCCTCCTCATGCTTCCTTCCCATATAAACATTGTATACAATCAATATGTGTGTTGTGTGTGTGTGTGTGTGTGTGGCCCAAAGTATCAAACGGTAAGATTTGTTTATGTTTTAAAAGAAGTCTCTTCTGCTCATCGAGGCTTCATTTATGTGATTCAAAATACAGCAAAAACAGAAATATTTTTACAATTTAAAATAAGCTTTTGCAACATAATAAATGTCTATACTGTCACTTTTGATCAATTTAATGCATCATTGCGGAATAAAATTATTAATTTCTCTCTTTTAAACTTGACCCCACACTCTTGAAGGATAGTGATAATGTTACAAAAGCTTTCTATTTCTGATAAATGCTGTTCTTTTGAACTTTCTATTTATCACAGAATCCTGAAAATAAATTGTACACAACTGTTTTCAACATCGATAATAATCATAAATGTTTCTTGAGCATCAGATCCTCATATTAGAGTGATTTCTGAAGGATCATGTGACACTGAAGACTGGAGTAATGATGCTGAAAATTCAGCTTTGATCACAGGAATAAATTACACTTTACTGTATATTCACATAGAAAAAATATTTCACAATATTACTGTTTTTTCTGTATTTTAGATCAAATAAATGAAGCCTTGGTGAGCAGAAGAGACTTATTTTTAAACTCTTACCATTCTAATAATTTTGGCCACCACTGTATATATATATATGTGTGTTTGTGTATGATGTATTTTCAATGGTCTCTCCCACATCTGCCTGTTTCAGTTCCTGAAGACACATGATGATCAGTATGTGGATATTTCAGCCATGGCCTCTGAGCTTCAGCAACAGTTCAGGTGCGTTTCCTCATCAATCTCCTGCAGAACAGCAAAAGCAAGTCTGAGATGTGTCTGAGTCTGAGATGTGTCTGAGTCTGAGATGTGTCTGAGTCTGAGATGTATCTGAGTCTGAGATGTGTTTGAGTCTGAGATGTGTTTGAGTCTGAGATGTGTTTGAGTCTGAGATGTGTTTGAGTCTGAGATGTGCTCGAGTCTGAGATGTGTTTGAGTCTGAGATGTGCTCGAGTCTGAGATGTGTTTGAGTCTGAGATGTGTTTGAGTCTGAGATGTGTCTGAGTCTGAGATGTGTCTGAGTCTGAGATGTGTTTGAGTCTGAGATGTGTTTGAGTCTGAGATGTGCTCGAGTCTGAGATGTGTTTGAGTCTGAGATGTGTCTGAGTCTGAGTTGTGCTCGAGTCTGAGATGTGTCTGAGTCTGAGATGTGTCTGAGTCTGAGATGTGTCTGAGTCTGAGATGTGTCTGAGTCTGAGATGTGTCTGAGTCTGAGATGTGTTTGAGTCTGAGATGTGTCTGAGTCTGAGATGTGTCTGAGTCTGAGATGTGCTCGAGTCTGAGATGTGTCTGAGTCTGAGATGTGTCTGAGTCTGAGATGTATCTGAGTCTGAGATGTGCTCGAGTCTGAGATGTATCTGAGTCTGAGATGTGCTCGAGTCTGAGATGTGTTTGAGTCTGAGATGTGCTCGAGTCTGAGATGTGTTTGAGTCTGAGATGTGCCTGAGTCTGAGATGTGCCTGAGTCTGAGATGTGTTTGAGTCTGAGATGTGTTTGAGTCTGAGATGTGCTCGAGTCTGAGATGTGCTTGAGTCTGAGATGTGTTTGAGTCTGAGATGTGTTTGAGTCTGAGATGTGTCTGAGTCTGAGATGTGTCTGAGTCTGAGATGTGTTTGAGTCTGAGATGTGTTTGAGTCTGAGATGTGCTCGAGTCTGAGATGTGCTCGAGTCTGAGATGTGCTCGAGTCTGAGATGTGTTTGAGTCTGAGATGTGTCTGAGTCTGAGATGTGTTTGAGTCTGAGATGTGCTCGAGTCTGAGATGTGCTTGAGTCTGAGATGTGTTTGAGTCTGAGATGTGTTTGAGTCTGAGATGTGTTTGAGTCTGAGATGTGCCTGAGTCTGAGATGTGTCTGAGTCTGAGATGTGTCTGAGTCTGAGATGTGTCTGAGTCTGAGATGTGTTTGAGTCTGAGATGTGTTTGAGTCTGAGATGTGTTTGAGTCTGAGATGTGTTTGAGTCTGAGATGTGTTTGAGTCTGAGATGTGCTTGAGTCTGAGATGTGTTTGAGTCTGAGATGTGCTTGAGTCTGAGATGTGTTTGAGTCTGAGATGTGTTTGAGTCTGAGATGTGTTTGAGTCTGAGATGTGTTTGAGTCTGAGATGTGCTTGAGTCTGAGATGTGCTTGAGTCTGAGATGTGTTTGAGTCTGAGATGTGTCTGAGTCTGAGATGTGTCTGAGTCTGAGATGTGCCTGAGTCTGAGATGTGCCTGAATCTGAGATGTGCTTGAGTCTGAGATGTGCTTGAGTCTGAGATGTGCTTGAGTCTGAGATGTGCTTGAGTCTGAGATGTGCTTGAGTCTGAGATGTGTTTGAGTCTGAGATGTGCCTGAGTCTGAGATGTGCTTGAGTCTGAGATGTGTTTGAGTCTGAGATGTGTTTGAGTCTGAGATGTGCTTGAGTCTGAGATGTGCTTGAGTCTGAGATGTGCCTGAGTCTGAGATGTGCTTGAGTCTGAGATGTGTTTGAGTCTGAGATGTGCTTGAGTCTGAGATGTGCTTGAGTCTGAGATGTGCCTGAGTCTGAGATGTGTTTGAGTCTGAGATGTGCTTGAGTCTGAGATGTGCTTGAGTCTGAGATGTGCTTGAGTCTGAGATGTGCTTGAGTCTGAGATGTGTCTGAGTCTGAGATGTGCTTGAGTCTGAGATGTGTTCGAGTCTGAGATGTGTTTGAGTCTGAGATGTGTTTGAGTCTGAGATGTGTTTGAGTCTGAGATGTGTTTGAGTCTGAGATGTGCTTGAGTCTGAGATGTGTTTGAGTCTGAGATGTGTTTGAGTCTGAGATGTGCCTGAGTCTGAGATGTGCCTGAGTCTGAGATGTGCCTGAGTCTGAGATGTGCCTGAGTCTGAGATGTGCCTGAGTCTGAGATGTGCCTGAGTCTGAGATGTGCCTGAGTCTGAGATGTGCCTGAGTCTGAGATGTGCCTGAGTCTGAGATGTGCCTGAGTCTGAGATGTGCCTGAGTCTGAGATGTGCCTGAGTCTGAGATGTGCCTGAGTCTGAGATGTGCCTGAGTCTGAGATGTGCCTGAGTCTGAGATGTGCCTGAGTCTGAGATGTGCCTGAGTCTGAGATGTGCCTGAGTCTGAGATGTGCCTGAGTCTGAGATGTGTTTGAGTCTGAGATGTGCCTGAGTCTGAGATGTGCCTGAGTCTGAGATGTGCCTGAGTCTGAGATGTGCTTGAGTCTGAGATGTGCTTGAGTCTGAGATGTGCTCGAGTCTGAGATGTGTCTGAGTCTGAGATGTGCTCGAGTCTGAGATGTGCTCGAGTCTGAGATGTGCTCGAGTCTGAGATGTGTCTGAGTCTGAGATGTGCTTGAGTCTGAGATGTGTCTGAGTCTGAGATGTGCTTGAGTCTGAGATGTGCTTGAGTCTGAGATGTGTCTGAGTCTGAGATGTGCTCTAGTCTGAGATGTGCTCTAGTCTGAGATGTGTTTGAGTCTGAGATGTGTTTGAGTCTGAGATGTGCTTGAGTCTGAGATGTGCTTGAGTCTGAGATGTGCTTGAGTCTGAGATGTGCTTGAGTCTGAGATGTGTTTGAGTCTGAGATGTGCCTGAGTCTGAGATGTGCTTGAGTCTGAGATGTGTTTGAGTCTGAGATGTGTTTGAGTCTGAGATGTGCTTGAGTCTGAGATGTGCTTGAGTCTGAGATGTGCCTGAGTCTGAGATGTGCTTGAGTCTGAGATGTGTTTGAGTCTGAGATGTGCTTGAGTCTGAGATGTGCTTGAGTCTGAGATGTGCCTGAGTCTGAGATGTGTTTGAGTCTGAGATGTGCTTGAGTCTGAGATGTGCTTGAGTCTGAGATGTGCTTGAGTCTGAGATGTGTCTGAGTCTGAGATGTGCTTGAGTCTGAGATGTGTTCGAGTCTGAGATGTGTTTGAGTCTGAGATGTGTTTGAGTCTGAGATGTGTTTGAGTCTGAGATGTGTTTGAGTCTGAGATGTGCTTGAGTCTGAGATGTGTTTGAGTCTGAGATGTGTTTGAGTCTGAGATGTGCCTGAGTCTGAGATGTGCCTGAGTCTGAGATGTGCCTGAGTCTGAGATGTGCCTGAGTCTGAGATGTGCCTGAGTCTGAGATGTGCCTGAGTCTGAGATGTGCCTGAGTCTGAGATGTGCCTGAGTCTGAGATGTGCCTGAGTCTGAGATGTGCCTGAGTCTGAGATGTGCCTGAGTCTGAGATGTGCCTGAGTCTGAGATGTGCCTGAGTCTGAGATGTGCCTGAGTCTGAGATGTGTTTGAGTCTGAGATGTGCCTGAGTCTGAGATGTGCCTGAGTCTGAGATGTGCCTGAGTCTGAGATGTGCTTGAGTCTGAGATGTGCTTGAGTCTGAGATGTGCTCGAGTCTGAGATGTGTCTGAGTCTGAGATGTGCTCGAGTCTGAGATGTGCTCGAGTCTGAGATGTGCTCGAGTCTGAGATGTGTCTGAGTCTGAGATGTGCTTGAGTCTGAGATGTGTCTGAGTCTGAGATGTGCTTGAGTCTGAGATGTGCTTGAGTCTGAGATGTGTCTGAGTCTGAGATGTGCTCTAGTCTGAGATGTGCTCTAGTCTGAGATGTGCTCTAGTCTGAGATGTGTTTGAGTCTGAGATGTGTTTGAGTCTGAGATGTGCTTGAGTCTGAGATGTGCTTGAGTCTGAGATGTGCTTGAGTCTGAGATGTGTTTGAGTCTGAGATGTGTTTGAGTCTGAGATGTGCTCGAGTCTGAGATGTGCCTGAGTCTGAGATGTGCTCGAGTCTGAGATGTGTCTGAGTCTGAGATGTGTTTGAGTCTGAGATGTGTTTGAGTCTGAGATGTGTTTGAGTCTGAGATGTGTTTGAGTCTGAGATGTGTTTGAGTCTGAGATGTGCTTGAGTCTGAGATGTGTTTGAGTCTGAGATGTGTTTGAGTCTGAGATGTGCCTGAGTCTGAGATGTGTTTGAGTCTGAGATGTGTTTGAGTCTGAGATGTGTTTGAGTCTGAGATGTGTTTGAGTCTGAGATGTGTTTGAGTCTGAGATGTGCCTGAGTCTGAGATGTGTTTGAGTCTGAGATGTGTTTGAGTCTGAGATGTGTCTGAGTCTGAGATGTGCCTGAGTCTGAGATGTGCCTGAGTCTGAGATGTGTCTGAGTCTGAGATGTGTCTGAGTCTGAGATGTGCCTGAGTCTGAGATGTGCTTGAGTCTGAGATGTGTTTGAGTCTGAGATGTGTCTGAGTCTGAGATGTGTTTGAGTCTGAGATGTGTCTGAGTCTGAGATGTGTCTGAGTCTGAGATGTGTCTGAGTCTGAGATGTGTTTGAGTCTGAGATGTGTCTGAGTCTGAGATGTGTTTGAGTCTGAGATGTGCTCGAGTCTGAGATGTGTTTGAGTCTGAGATGTGTTTGAGTCTGATATGTGTTTGAGTCTGAGATGTGCTTGAGTCTGAGATGTGTTTGAGTCTGAGATGTGTTTGAGTCTGAGATGTGTCTGAGTCTGAGATGTGTTTGAGTCTGAGATGTGTTTGAGTCTGAGATGTGTTTGAGTCTGAGATGTGATTGAGTCTGAGATGTGTTTGAGTCTGAGATGTGTTTGAGTCTGAGATGTGCTTGAGTCTGAGATGTGTCTGAGTCTGAGATGTGTTTGAGTCTGAGATGTGTTTGAGTCTGAGATGTGCTTGAGTCTGAGATGTGTTTGAGTCTGAGATGTGTTTGAGTCTGAGATGTGCCTGAGTCTGAGATGTGTTTGAGTCTGAGATGTGTTTGAGTCTGAGATGTG